TGCTTGGCTCACAAGACAGATGAAGCAGCACTTGTCTCCCCAGTCAGATAATCTGCTCTCCTGTAATTTAAAATTCCACTTTCCCCTAAAAAATCTCTCGTCGCAGCAAACACACTCCCCTGTTCACACCCAAACAGCCCTCTTCCTCTCCCCTGTCCCCTTTTCCTCGCTCTTTATCTTTTCTTCTCTCTATCACACACACAGGCTGGTGCCAAGTTGTTAAATTTGAGCTCTCCATCTACTTTCCTATACAGACAAACACACACAGACACACACACTCTCTCTCTCAGTCACACACACACATGCACACTCATGCACAAACAGAGGCAAACACACAGCCTTGCAAAAATAGCATTCATCTCTACATCCATCTCTGATTCTGGGCTCAAAGATGAGAATACTTTGGCAGGAATCTATCACTCTGTCACACACGCACACACACACACACACACACACACAGACACACACACACACAGACTCACACACAGAGAGAGACAAGCATAATCTCTCGCTTTCTATCTCACCACTCAAATTGAATCTGCGGTCTTGACAGGCCAAGAGGACAGGGACGACGAATAAAAATCACCTCATTACGCACATACACATCCCTCACACACACATACGCAGACAAACGTAGGCAAGCAGGTCATTCACATGCATTAGGGATGGGAATAGAGAAGCCTTGAATCTTGGTCAAACACCATTTGGTGTGTAAATGCTGACAGACGAGGGTAGCCACATTTGTGTCTGGAGGATCAGAGACAGTGTTTGGCAGAGAGGCTGGAATAATGGAGGACGGACGGACGGAGGCACAATGGTGTGTACATTTGTGCAGGATAAAAATAATGATGATAATGATTAGTCTGATGAAAGAAGGTCACAGTGACAATATAAGCACTGAAACTGATGATAATGATAGTGTTCTGTCAACCATTATCTCCTTTTGATCATCGATCCTGGCACACTGGGTGGATACAATCATAATAAGATGTGTAAAGCCTCCTGCTGTTAATTTTGTTTTAGGAATCTTTTAGTTTGCGCTCAGCTCTGACAGACAAGGACTGTTTAAAGAATGAAATGTATGCCACTGGATGAATACTGTTGTGTACAAATAGGCAACAGTGTGTTTTCAAAAAGCTACAGGCCACAGGGAGCATCGCAAACAAACACTGAAGGCTGACACACTGTCACCCGTTAAGAATCGACAAAGAGCACTTTCACAGGAAGTGGCAATAATAAGGCAATAATTACAGAGCAGGTATCAAACCTGTGAACTGCCTCATGAATATAGGTTTGAATTCAAAATACACAGAAAATTTGCACTACTGGTGGCTAGTCCTCGAGACCCTTTACATACACAAGCTTTGTCATGAGTTTATCATTGTGATCATTATATAATCAACAATTTAAATGAATGATCAGTCTAGCATTAATTTCACTTAAGTATATCGTTGATGGCTGTTAATAAACACTGAAGTGATGATTAACAATGTCATTAAAAGTGTTTGTTTGTCATTAGTTAGTTAGACATTTTGTGTAGCATGCCGAGGATAAGAGACAAGATTTATGTTTTGATGACACTGCCTCTGTTATGTATGTGTTAATGACTTTTGTTTTATAGCCAATCAGTGAATCAGTTCTCATCACAAATCAATCAAATGCTGCTGTTTTATCATAGCTATCAGTATCTCAGAGGTACACTGCCATTGGTGCAGTGTCACACTTGACTTACGCCCAAATTCTTACATTTGAACACTTCAGTAGGACTCTTTAACATCCATCCATCCATCCAACCATCCATCCATCCACCCATCCATTCAACCATCCATCCATCCATCCATCCAACTATCCATCCATCCATCCATCCATCCACCCATCCATTCAACCATCCATCCATCCATCCACCCATCCATCCATCTTCTTCATGTTTCAATTATTTACTTAAAAGTTAAATTTAGCTTCACAGCGTGAATACCTTCAGACAAAGCACTGTTTGAATGTGTTCTCCAGACAGTGTAAAATTTAAACTGGCTCATTGAGCAGTATTTCACATATAAGGAGTATATATAATCTAAATAAAATCCACCAGGTGTTTTTAATGTTACAATCCCCAGGCTGCTAAAACATACAGAATAAAAATTAATTCTGGTGGTCAGTTTTGCTTTGGCCTATCCTCACAACAAGCCTGAGAAGCTCAGGGATCAACAGATCACAGTGTGTTTGTACTGGGAAGCTGAATTTTAACAATCCTAATCTATGACACAAAATAATTGTTTATTTTATCGAGCTATACTGTAGCAACCTGATGTGAATTTGGAAGAAAAGTAAAATCTCAAAAGAGGACTGGAATTCAGTTTGTGCTGATGCTCACTGAATGCACGCCTCAGATTAACACACTGTAATCATGCAAACATAAGTAACCTCTGACAAGTCATAATTATAATCAGACTATATCGGGCATATGCACCAGATGCACGGAGGCCAAAACAACAATGTTTCACTGTGTTTGTCAGTGAAAGGAAGATTAAAATATTATGGGAACTGCAATGATATGTGAGAACATGCATCTTTTCTGTTGTGCTATTGTAATTTCAAGCAAAGAAATACTTTCTAATTCTTTTGTTTTGTTTTATACTTCTATATTTCTATATACAAGGTCCCTCTTGCAAAACATGCAAACTACAACACACATTTATTTATGGTTTTCAAAATTTCTGGTTTTGATCGTCTTCCAACTCTACGACCTACTACCAACTCTAATTCTTGTCAGAAGTGTAGTCTATTATTCTTACTCTTTCACTTTTTTTTTAAGTGAAAGTGTATAAACTAGCAACGCTGCTGGCACGGGTTCGTGTACTGTGTAGAAACAGACTGCACACTTATTAAAGAGATACCAGATTTAACAGATTTACCAATAACACCTCAATCAAATCCTTAAAAAATGATTAAATTAGTGCTGAAAGCTGAATGTTATTATTAATAAATCTTTTGTCGCTATCATTCAGCCTACATATGTAAATTGTTTACTTCCTAGTAGTGTAATATAAAATAACCAGAGCTACCATGCTCGGTTCACGATCAGAGATGGGCAGTAACGCGTTACTGTAATCTGATTACTCTTTTTAAGTAACGAGTAAAGTAAGGGATTACTATTGCAAAAACGGTAATTAGATTACCGTTACTTCCCGTAGGAACGCTGCGTTACTGCGTTACTAAAACCGTGATTTTTTTTGCGAGAATGTCTCACGACAGTGACGTAAGCGAGTGCGCCGTTTGTGACAACAGCTGTGTGCAGATCAACAATGGATCACATATCGAGTGTGGGAGAGAGTATGAGCGTGCAGCGTTTAAAGCGTGGAAGTACTGACCTTACTTTGAGTTTGATTCCATAAAAAGTGACAAAAACATTAGCGTCCATCGTGCGTGGGAAGAAAACTTCTTTTTACAGCGAAAAAAACCCTCTAAAGTTCCGAGCAAGCACCGAGTGCGTAACAACGTAATGCGCAACTGACCGCGGCACACCTGCACCAAGGAAAACCTCCGCCTACCCTCAGTCCTGCTTTACAGGTGAAAATAGAGCACCAGGACCGCTTAGTCTTTGACTTTATTAATTTTCTGCTGTGACTTGCATCTATTTGAAAGAGTGAGTGTAAACACAAATTATTTTTTATTTTATGTGTTGGAATGTGTAGAAAATAGGTTTAAATGTTAAACTAATTTATTCAAGTCAGAGAATGTTGCATATAATTAAATTTTTGCTTGATGCATAAAGTTAAAAGATTAAAACTGATAAAACAAGTTAAAAAAAGAGACTTTTCCATTTGATTACATTTTGTATGATGGACTATGTAGAAAAAAAGAATTGGGCTGAAAGATCTATCGCTTTATCACCTATTCAGGTTGTAAATCGTGTTTTTAAAAAGTGACTAAGTAACTAAGTAATTAATTACTTTTGAAAATAAGTAATCAGTAAAGTAAGGGGATTACTTTTTTGGGGGAGTAATCAGTAATTAGTTACTGATTACTTTTTTCAAGTAACTTGACCAACACTGTTCACAATTCTAACATTTGGATGTAGCATTATTTTCTTGTCCTATGTTTAAAATTATAGAAACTGTGAGATTTTGAGGAAATGTGGCATTTTGCAGCTGTGATTTCTGGTTATTACACAGAAGCTACTACATGTTTTCAGGAAATCATCACATTATTTGAGGTTTGACTTTACTGGTTATTGCCTCTGCATAAACATTGTTACTTTGTTAACTTTAAACAAAGAAGAATTCCAGCATTATAATATGATCGTCAACCATTATCACTATTATCCATGAATCCTCTGCCTCTTATCTTTATCAGGGTGACACAGTAAGAGAAAAAATTTAGACCTTGCTTATTACTGGTTACAACCCTGCTTGACTTTAGACAAATCATGTTAAAGCTTCCGATTCAAAACATAAAAAACATAAAACACCGTCGGATCATGCTGTAATGCTCAGTAGGGTAAGTTTGAAATATTGTGGTATTTTCACTCTAAGCCCAGCTCCAATTTGACTGTACAATAAACACGTCTAGATTTTTCTGTTACCAGTCCCGTGTCCTTGGGTGGCCGTAACCCTTAAACTTTGACAGCTCACAATTTCTCATAAAGGGAAGAGATAATAGGATTTTTCATCTCTCCTCACACACGTGCGCACGCAGTCACACACAAAATCTCCTCCTGTGTTTGTGTCATGAACATTTTCTCAAAGGAAATAAAGGGTAAATCATGTGACGAATTACCTTTTCACCGTGTTGCACGCCTGTTTATGTATGTGTGTGTGTGCATTTTGTGCATTTGTCTGAAATGTTTGCCGCATGCCACTTTTGGTCTAAACTGCTAAAGCGCTGCTTTGTATTCTGCAGATGTCTTCTCATCCAGCAGTGAAGGTTGGCGTTTAAAAGCAGAGACAGAGAATAGAATGAAAAACCGACAGACACAAAGAGGAAGGGGGAAAACTTTTTACCTTTGCAGATGGAGGTCTTTTCCAAACCAGCTGAGCCTTCAGTCTCAGAGCACTTTTCACATCACTAACAAAAAAGGAACAAAAAGTGGGAAAGGGAACAAGAAGAAGAAAATAGAGAGAGGTTAGTTTAGGGTAGAATGAAACAAGTCATTAAGCCCATTTAATGCCTCTACTTCAAAAACAAGAAAGCTGAGCAGTTAGGATGCATCAGGAAAAACACAGGAGCTGCTTACTATAAGTCTGAATGTGCCATTTTCCTGCAGTTACGGCGCGAGAGTCATCCAAAAATAATAATATGAATTAGATTTATATAACACATTTATAGGACATTAAAAAATCTATGTGTGTCAGAGGGAAGAGAGATTGACAGTGAAATGGGACACAGTCATGGGAAAAAAGTGAGGAATTGTTGAAATAAGAGCTGTGTGAGAAAACAGAGGGGGATTCCCATTAGAGAGACAAATGAAGGGACGGCTGAGGATGACAGCAACATCTGACTGTTGGCAAGTCAATGATGGACAGAGGGAGGGAGACAGAGAGAAAGAGCCTATATATATTGAGGCTAATATGTGGCTCTGTCTCGCAGAAGAGAGCTAACAACCTCCTCTGGCCTCTCTGGCACATGACTGTTTACTTGTGTCAAGACCCATGTGTATGTGAGTGTGTGTAGAGAAGAAGCTCCCATTATTCAGTTGGTGGATGAAGAGAAAACAAAAAAAACAAAAAGCAAAAGCCTGCCGGCTATGTTACTGTAAAGTACCCCTATTATTTTGTCAAACCCCACTAAAACATGACCAGCTCATTGCAGCCTATTACAGAGGACAACATCACAACAGACCTGTGACTGTGACGAGGCTGACCCACAAATGCTTCACAAACATGCAGCTTATTTAAGCTAAGGTTGCTGTTTGAGGATAAGAAAGATTTTTTAAAAATGCAACAGTGTCGAGACTCAGACAGAGGCAGTATTATCGATTTAAGCCAGAGGTTCCCAAAGTGTGGGGCGCAGAGCCATTGCGGGGGGGGGGGGGGGGGGTCACGGTATGAAAAGAAAAAAAAAAGTGGGGATACAAATAATATCAGGCTCATCCTGCCACAATTTGTTCCCCTGGTTCAAATGCCGGTATGGGACCACAGTTGTTTATGTTTTTAAACCCATTTTGCACAGAGAGGCATTTTTTGAAAAATGTATTGATAGCAATGTTGAATTTTATTACACAGGAAAAGAACAACTACACGTAAAATAATCACACCGTGACGCCTCTGCCTTTGTAAATGGAGGGACCGTAACTGCGTGTAAAAACTGCAGATAGTCAGATTAACAGTATTTTGTCTCTATCTGCCATTCTGCAATTCATCTCATGTAAACAATAACGTGGCGCACAGCGTGACGTGAAAAAAGCCACATACCTTTGACGAAATGCATTCCTGTATTCCTCGTCCACACGAAAACGCAAAAAAGGATTTTTAAAAACTCTCCGTTTTCAGTGATTCAAAATGCCGTTTACGTGTGGACGAAAGGCCCAAACGCATAGAAACAGCTGCGTTTTCAAAAATACCCGTGTAGGTGTGGACGTAGCGTAAAACAGTTAGTAGTGTATTTTCTTACTACCTGTAATTTCTTGCAGTTTACTTGTATTTGCTTAATTGTTTACTAAATGTTTGGGGTGTGCGGTGGCGGGGTAGGTGGTTTGGGAGGGGGGGCGAACATTTTTCTTGTAAAACAAAGGGGGTCTAGCAGAAAAAGTTTGGGAACCACTGATTTAAGCACATATTTTAAGTCATGCTACTTAGGTAGGCTTGCAGAAAGCTGAATGGAAATATATCATGGTATTCATATTATTTTGTCCATCCCTGTAAGACAGGATTCATGGTTATGGTTCATGATCGTTATAGCGCTAATAAGCAGGCGATTGATTTACAAATCAGCCAGATCAATTAATGGAGTGACAGTAGAGTTAAAAACAAAAAAACAAAAAAAACAATATGAAACGTACAGACGGTGGCTTTAGAGGACACTTTTTCTTGTTTCACTTCAGCTCTTTGTATGATAGAACTTTGCTATTCTTCGCGTCTGGCAACAGCCAACAACAACACAAGCAAGAGCAGGCAACATGTCTGCCTGCAGATGCTTTCAGCTGTCTGTAGCTCATTATGATTTGCCAATGCACTGCCAATCAAGAACCCCGCTGAGTCCTTAAAGCCCCAGTCCCACAGGCCTAGAGGCCAGTGCCTGGCTATCTGGTAACCACTGGTTGCTAGGGAAAAATGTACATTTCCCAACCAGTTGGCAACCTCCTTGCAATTGCTTTGATCTTTAGTAGACTGGAACTTGCTATCATATCTGCAAACTCATGTCAAGTACTCTCTGGGCAGTAGCGAAACTGTGAAAAGTGTGACACAAACCAGAAATGCTTTTACTTTACTTTTAATTTACAGGCAAACATTCTACTTTTCCAGCATTGCACTTTTTCACATTTGTTTTATCACTTGGTTTGTATTTAGCATGTCATTGCTGGTGCAGCCCCCTGTTTGTGACCACTTCACCTCGTGACAGCCGTACATTTTGTTACCCGACTCCACAGGCAACACATCGCCCTCTCAGGATATTTGCATAAAATAATTTCATTGGCTAACAGCTGCACTGGATCCTTTGAATAAATGTGATTTGATTGGCTGACGCTCACACTGGCCCTTAGATTTAAATTTCATTACATGATATTGTGAGCTCAATAATTTGATTATCTCCATTTTGCAGGATAATTTAATGCAAATTGACAGAATGTTATGTGTTACGCATGCAGAGGTCTATTCTTCTGTCAAGATGCTTTTTGGCAATAAAGATCTCACATAAATTAGTTTTTGCCTTCGATACAGCACCGTCATTCCCAAATCAGTCTTAGACCCAGAATGAATTTCACCTTTTCATAGATCTACTCTATATTCACATAAATATATGCACATAAAAACTGGTAGCACATATCAAGTCATTGCATAATTTGATTCATGTTGCATTAATCATGAGTAAAAATTACAAGATTATCTCTGTTTTTTCAAAAGGACAAAGAGCTCAAATGTTCAAGTCCTTTTGCGTCATGATGATTTGATGTCATTAAAGAAAAGTCCAAATCTAGTCATGCAGCTTCTCTCAAGCTTGAGCATAGCTTTGGAGTCTTGGCTTTATGCATCTTGTTGAATAGTCAGTATACTACATAATCCCTTCATTGTAGTTTCCTCTATTTTAAGCACTCAAGTGACCTTTTGTAGGCCTGTAAACCAGAACAAAGATGCTGATCTTTTTCTCTTTTTCTTTATTGTTTGTTTTGTCTGTCTGTCAGTGTCAGACCAGTTACTTTTACTGAATATGTATTCCCAATGAAAAAAGTTATTACATTGCTTCCGGGCAGCTCAGCAGCAGACATCCAATCATTCACACCTACATGTTGCATCTTTTGTATTTAATAAGTAGAAATCAAACATCAGACTTGCTGCCATCCCTCCAGTTTAGAAACATTTAATGACCTTTTCAACAGCAGGTGTTTTAGCCTCAGAGGCTCCACACAGTTCTCCAGAAATCTTTAAACATTTTGATACCAGCAAACTACTGACAGCAAACCAGCCACGTACATACATTTCAAAACACAGAGTGCATAGTCATCACATGCCACACTGAAAAGTAAAATAATATATGGTTTTACAATCAAGGAATTTTCCTTATTAATTTAAAGATTTTTTCCCATATTTTTTTAACCACACGCTGAATAGTAGCGCTTGCCATGTAATAATGTATCCATTTTTTTTGTTTTGTTTTTTTACATTGTACTCCCTTCACCCATCACAGACTTTCCAGTCTAGCACATCTGGCCACATCTGGCCACTGAACAGCAAGAGCAGTCCTTTATCTAACTGGAGATAGCGAACAAGCTGCCCCTTACGAAGTGTGTATGCTTGGTACCGGAAAATAAAATCACATCACATTTTCCTTCCCAACACTGGTCTGAGGTTATATCAGGCTGTTGAGAGTGAAACTAAATATAAGAATAAAAAGAATAAAAATATAAACCTGATGTCTTTGGAGATGTTCCAGCTTTTTTTTTACAGGCTTAAGAAGTCAACTCGGACATGTCAAGTCTAAAGTCAAGTCATTTGGCCTAAAGCTCGAGTTTGAACTGAAAATGATTAAATCTGCTTCCACAATTGAAAGAAATGACAATGAAAATAAAAAACCACATCTACACAAACATACACAAAGACACTCATTCAAGCACTGCAGCTTATGTCTTTTTATTAGCAAGAGAGCCGCTTGAGCCTGAGGATGCGGAGATGGACAGAACCAAGAGGGAGAGACTGAAGGAGGAACAGGAGGATTCTGGGAAATGAGAAGTTGCCTGAGTGGAAAAAGGCAAAATAGCAAACTGTTGAACGGCTATAGAATGTTACTTACAGCCGAATGATACTGCTAACAAGTGTAGCCATTTTGTACTTGTGTGAGTCCTTGGAGCCTGCCGGCCAGGATAAACAGTAAGACATTCAGACAACATCATTGAGCTCCGCAGTTCTGATCTTTACTGCAGGGATGCGTTTTTTCAAACACCACACGCTTTCCGTAATCGCGGAGGGCAACGGCGAAAACACGTATTCTATGATCAACCACAAAGTCTCTCGTGTCATTTCTGGCATTTGACATTACAAACCGAATGGAGACAACACACATTAAAATCAATCCACATGCAATGGAGGATGAAACAGAGCAGGTGTGGTAGGTTTACAAGAACAATAAAGGAGAAAAGCATGGGGAGATGATAGGGGTGGGGGGTGTTAAAGTAAAGCAAAGAACAGCTAAAATTGAGGTTGTGATGCATTACCTGTGGCAAATGAGCTAAACATAGAAACTACTACTGAACTGCCTCACACAGACGCACAGTGAGTGCTCTTCAAATATTCCTTATGCATCAGCAGTGCGCTTGCTTCTCTGTAGTCACCTTGACTGCAAATGGAGAGGACAGCAGAGAGAGGTGCTGCGTGTTTATTGTTATCCTGACAAACTAGTGTCTGTAAAGGCTA